GCCCTAATATAATCTGCGAGGCACTTCTCAATTTGAGAATGTCTAAATCAACTAAAAGCTCAAGATTAACAGTACCTAGTTTGGAACCTCAGATTACACAATAGAATGATATTTCTTATCGAACTATTGTAACCTAAACACATATACTACTTTCTAGGGGATTTTAGGAAGCTCTTTCTCAAATACTCTCAGACCTCACAAAGAATGGTTTCGAATGCATGACCTTTGTGAAGAAGAGCAACCTATATTTATAACCCCTACTTCTTAATCATGTGGGAATTGTACTATCAATCCTAATCTTTATAGGACTTGAGTTTCCATCCTTTTTTAAGATTTTATCTTGAGTAAATGCCAACCAAGGTCCTCCGAGTTTGGTGGTTTCACCACCTTTAGTCTTAAACTTTCATATTGACAATCCGTGATCCTCTGAGTTTTGAATTCGAACTGCCGTAGTACTTCCGTTAAGATATTCGGCCTGAGCTGTGAAAATTAAGGGCAAAACAGTGTTTTTATTGCAACCTCAACCAAAACAATTCATTTTCCTCAAAAATTAGCCCTATTCCACCAAAAAAAATTGCAATTGAACGAATTTCTAAGGGCTAATTTCTAGGGGGAAAAAATTGCAATTGAAAAAAATTAGAGCTAATTTCTTAAGGAAATGAATTGTTTTGGCTGGGGATGCAATAAAAAGACTGTTTTGTCCTTACTTTTCACAGCTTAGACGGAATATCTTAAAGAAAGGACTACGACATGTCGAATTCGAAACTCAAAGGATCACTAAGGGTCGATTTGAAAGTTTAGGACTAAAGGTGGCGAAACCACCAAACTCGGAGGACCTTGGCTGGCATTTACTCCTTTTTATCTTCTAATTGGACTGGTAATCATTTTTTCAAACAACTTGACAAAAAAGTTTTTAGGTCACCAAAAATAATGGAAAGTCATGTTTTGTTTATCCTGCCCGTATCCCTATGCATCTTTTCCTTGAACATCGGGCCGATGTTCCATTTTAAAGTGGAGAAAGGCTGGGGTACTCGTTGCACTTGACAATTTTTTGTGTGTGAGCTAATCATTTGAAGTCATAACTCTCAATAATTGGATAAATATGTTCATCCTTCATAGATTTATGTATATGTACTACAACTCTTTACCACAATTATTGTATTTTCAAGGAAACACAAAACATGTTAACTAATTTTCCGAACAAAAATTTTCCCATCAATACATTCACTGCAAAATAATTTAATTAGTGGGGAAAAAATACTAATATAGCCCATTTGGTTTGCAGAAAGGAATATACAACGAAAGGGATTTAAATTTAGTGAAAAAATAAATAAAGATGAAATTCATATTTCATTGTTTACTTGGTGAAAGAAATACTAGGATTTCTTAAAGAATTTAAAAATTAAAATCTAAGTCGTACCTTTTTTTGAAAACCTAAGTTGTACCTAAAAGAATTTAAAATTCTTCACATTTTAGGAATTAAAATTTCAATAAGAAAAAAAACTCCACTAGTTTATAGATTTTTCTAACTACGAATTATGGTGATAGGACGCAGCAGTTGGGAAGAAAATTCCAAGTAGAATACTAATACTCCATAATACTTTCTCTCTCTCTCCCTCAGATCTTGCTTATCCTTGGATTTTTCGTCCCGTTACCGCTGGCCTTTGACCAAAGCTCTGATGATGTATGTGAACCTCAGCTCACTTTGAGCGATGAAGATAGCAATGAAAACGAGCCTCTTCTGAACTCTGAGATGCAGTTCAGCTTGATTGGTAGGCTACCATATGATAAACCAGTCAAATTTCTCACTAATTTGAAGTTGGGTGTGTGTTATCGGATGAGAATATTGTCTATGGACAGAAGAGGGGAGATAGATACCCAGGTGATGTGCAAGGCTTTTCACTCACATTCAATCTTCTTTACGGTTAGCCTGACCACAAATGATATTAAAGAAGCTTTAAGTTCTTTTAATGACATTAACTTCCAATCTGTGACTCAAGTTGTCCCTAGCATTGTTAGGGAAGTTATTTCTATATCAGATGGTAAGGAATGACTTATCATTCTAAGGACATCCTAAATAGTGGGGCTTTTGGTGTAGTTTTTTGAAGAGTTTTTGTAGGTGTGAATGTGTGATTAAGAAAGAGAAAATAAGAGGGGAGGGAAAAAAAATAACAATTTGATAACAAAAATAAAAAAAAAAAAAAAAAAAAATTTACGTGCCCTGGCGTGCACTACAGAAAACCCAAGTTAGGCACTCAAACAATCTCTCTCTTCCCTCTCTCTTCCAACCAATCAACTTCACCTAAATATCTGTGTAAAATATATTTAATAGGGTTGCTCTAACAAGCTTTGTTGTAAACATTTGTTGATTTAATGAATTCGTTTCTTTTTCAAAAAAAAAAAAAAAAAAGGAGAAGAAAAAAAAAAACACTAATTCAATTCTACCACGTGAATGGGTGAAATTGACAAGAGTTTTTGTTTGGGTATACGCTACATCAATATGTTGGAGTGTTATGTTGGAGTGTTGGACCAGGCAGATGCAGTATACATTCAGTGGGGTCACTTAGCCTTAAGCTTACTGAATAATAATAATAATAATAACAATAATAATAATAATAACAACAACAACAACAACAACAACAATAACAATAACAATAATAACAACAATAACAACAATAACAATAACAACAATAACAATAATAACAATAATAACAATAATAATAATAATAATAATAATAATAATAATAATAACAATAATAATAACAACAACAACAACAACAACAACAATAATAATAATAATAATAATAATAATAACAACAACAATAACAACAATAACAACAACAACAACAACAATAATAATAATAATAATAATAATAATAATAATAATAGAAATAATAATAGAAATAATAACAATAATAACATATTTTGATTTAAGCGTCACCTATTATTATTATCGTGCGTAAATGCTCCGCAAACCTCGCGAATCCAGATCGTGATCGCCGATCGTGCCTTTTCCGATCGAGTTCGCCGATTAGTGGCCCTGTCTCTTGATCTTGCTCAAGAGAGTTTCTCCCTAGTGGTCTAGGGTTTATATTTTTCGATGTCTTCTCCAATGAATTCACATTTACTAATCTATTTCGTGGCGTGGCTTTCCCTTCTGATCATGGATATTCGCCAAATCGAGGATCATTGTGCAAGCCTATCAATTGCGGAGGAGGAGGTGACCGGTCTAGAGGCACCTGATCCACCGCCCCCGAGCGTTGCGCCTATTCACCACAATTTGGTTGGGCGCTTTCTCACCGACCGTCCGATCAAATTTGACCACATGCAACAGGTTCTAGCTTCGGTATGGCGGCCGGTGATGGGTATGCAGGTGGAGGCGTTGACGGAGGAGCTATTCCTATTTCGATTCCCCATTCAGAGGATTTGCAGAGGATCATCGACGAAGGCCCTTGGTCGTTTGAGAATCACACATTGGTCTGCGAGCGTGTACCTCCGGAATCGAGGCCCGAGGATGTTAAATTAGAAGCCGTGGCATTCTGGGTGCAAATCCACCGGTTACCGGCGATGTATGCATCCTCGGAGTTCCTGACCCAAATTGGCGATTAGTTAGGCTCATTCGTTGCGATCGACCCCAACAATTTTGGTGGATCGTGGAAAGGTTTCTACCGAATCAGGGCGAAGATGCTGGTGGGGATGACTTTGAGGAGACGTATGAAACTCGTGCGCAAAGATATCTCCACAAAGTGGATCAATTTTCGCTACGAAAGACTAAATGCATTTTGTTTTTGCTGCGGAGTTTTGGGTCACATCGATAAATTCTGCAGGAAGACTTACGAAGATGGTATTCCGCCTGAGTCGTTCCCGTTCGGCAGCTGGATGCGTGGCGGATCGAGAAGGCAAACTAAGCTAGTTGGTGCAAAATGGCTACTGCCAAAGGATGCACCGCTAATTACGACACCTTCTCCTCCAGGGCCTTCGCCTTTGGCGCTGGTGTCGGTTCAAGAGAGCGCATGGTTACAGGGGGAGCTGAAGAGACGTAAGGAATCGGCTGAACTGCATAATGGAGTGACTGGGGAGGATGTGTTGATGTTTGAGAGTTCAAAAAATCTACTATCGGCGGGTCTGGAGGGCCAGACTCGCCCAGCCCAATGAGTGTACTCAGTTGGAACTGCCGGGGTTTGGGTGGCACCCGGACAGTTCGAGAGTTATTGGACATAGTGTCCAAAGAGCGACCCTTTTTTGTCTTCTTAAGGGAGACGGAAGCGTTTGGTGTGAAAGTGGAGAAGGTGAGGGTGAAGCTGGGGTTTGAAGGGGCAGTATGTGTGGATCGTGTGGGTATGGGAGGTGGGCTAGCTTTGTTGTAGAGGGATGCGGAGGCGGCTTCGCTTCTGAGCTTCTCGTGCAATCACATAGATATGGAAGTCACGCTTCTGGAGAGGCCGAAATGGAGGCTGGCGGGTTTCTATGGTAATCCAAAGCGGTCAAGGAGACATATCACGTGGGATCTTCTGCGGCAACTCAAGGAACAATCAATACTCCCTTGGGTTGTCGTGGGGGATTTTAATGATATTGCTTGTCTGTTTGAGAAATGGGGTAACCATCCACACCCGGATGGCCTCATTGAAGGCTTCAGCGATGCTTTAGAAGATTGTCAGTTACATGATTTGGGTATATCTGGGGGTCGGTTCACGTGGGAGAAAGGTCATGATACAGAGGCATGGCTGGAGGAAAGGTTAGACAGGGCAGTGGCGACGATTGATTGGGTGGAGTTACACGAGGACGCAGTAGTGCGCAAAATTTTTACAGTTGAATCAGATCACAACGCTATTTTCCTTGATCTAGAGACGCGCCCGGTACGCGCAGCTAGGTACTCTTCTTAATTTGAATCTGCCTGGCTCCTCGATGCGGGGTGTGCGAAAGTGGTAGAGGCGGCGTGGAGGCAGACGTCTGGGTTGGATTTCCAGCAGCGAATCGATATTTGTGGACATCACTTGAAAATGTGGGGTGGGGATCGTGCTAGGAAATTTAGAAATCGCATAAAGAAATTGCGACAGCGACTGGCAGTGTTGGAGGAAGACAGAACAACGCAGGCAGTTCAAGAATTCCTAGAGGAGGAACTCGAGCTTGAGATCTTGTTGAAGCGGGATGAATTGTTTTGGCTTCAGCGTTCAAAACAACTCTGGTTAAAATATGGGGATTCTAACACGAAATTTCTCCATAAGGCGGCCTCTGCACGCAGAAATCGAAACCTACTTCTACGAGTCAAGGATCAGAATGGGGTGTGGATGGAAGGGGTGGCAATGCATGCTGAAGTGTTGAGGTACTATAATCTTATTTTTTGTTCCGGGGGTTGTGTTTCGAATTTGTTTTCCCGGATGAGTCAGAGTGTATCTGATAAGATGAGCGCTGCCCTGTTGCAGCCGTTCACAATCACGGATGTGAAGTCTGCTTTGTTCTCTATGGCCCCGGAGAAAGCTCCGGGTCCGGACAGCATGTCACCAGCTTTCTATCAGCATTTCTGGCCGGTCCTCGGCCATGATCTGTCAATGTTTGTCATAAGCTGTATTGACACCTGCAGTTTCCCGCAGGGCCTGAACGTGTCTAATATTGTTTTACTGCCCAAGAAAAAGTCCCGGAATCGGTGGCTGATTTGCGACCGATCGCCCTCTGTAATGTTGTATACAAAGTCCTGGCCAAGATGTTGGCTAATAGACTTAAGGATTTGTTATGCCATGTCGTGTCGCAATCTCAGAGCGCTTTTGTCCCCGAGAAATTGCTCACCGATAATATTATTGTTGCTGGGGAGGTGGGTCACTTTCTCTGTAGGAAAGTGAATGGGACAATGGGTTGGGTAGCGCTGAAGCTAGACATGGCTAAAGCATAAGATAGAATGGAGTGGGGCTTTCTGGAGGGAGTTATGTTAGCGTTGGGTTTTAACCAGCGTTGGGTGAGTTTATTGATGTTGTGTGTCTCCTCGATCACCTATTTAGTTCAGGTGAACGGGGAAACAGTGGGCACCGTGTGCTCCTCTCGGGGTATTCGTCAAGGGGACGACCCACTGTCCCCTTATTTATTCATTCTTTGTGCCTAGGCGTTATCTATCCTTTTCCAACAGGCAGAGGCTAGGGGCGACTTACATGGGGTGAAAGTGGCCCGTGGTGTACCATCCATCACCCATCTTTTTTTCGCTGACGACAGCTTGATGTTTTTCAGGGCAACACATCAGGAAGCTTCTAAAATCAAAGAGTGCTTAGACAAGTACTGTATGGCATCGGGTCAGTTAATCAATTTCTCCAAGTCTAGCGCTGTTTTCAACGCCAATACTACTGCTGCGATAAAGAGTATGGTTTCAGAGTGCTTTGGGGTACGGGAGGCTCAAAATCTGGGGCGTTACTTAGGCCTGCCCACGGTCCTCGGGAGAAGTAAGGTCGCTACTTTTCGATACATTGAGGAAAGAATTCGTGACCGAATTGGGTCATGGCAACACAGATTGTTATCAAGGGCAGGTAAAGAGGTTTTACTTAAGAGCATAGCTCAAGCCCTTACTATTTTCACTATGTCCACTTTTCTGTTGCCAATCCGGAGCTGTGACACTTTGGAAAAATTGTTTAATCGTTTTTCGTTGGGCGGTGGTGGTACAGGTAGGGGAATTCATTGGCTAAGCTGAGGTCGGTTATGCAAACCAAAATTCAGAGGGGGTTTGGGAATCAAGCGATTGCACGAGTTCAACCTGGCATTACTTGCAAAGCAGGGCTGGCGGTTGTTGATTCATCCGGAGTTGCTGGTGAGAAGGCTTTTGAAAGCCAAATATTTTCCCAATTGTGATTTCATGGAAGCACGACTGGGTGGAAACCCAAGTTACTTTTGGCGCAGTATTTTGGCGGGACAGGATGTTTTAAAACAGGGGTTAGCGCGGAGAATAGGCGATGGTCTTGACACTAAAATTTGGGGTTGGGGTTGGCTGTCTAATTCCTTGAACGCAACATTAATTACGCCATGCATTGAAGACATTAAGGAGGCAGGAGTGAGCGAGCTGATGACCGAGCACGATGAGTGGGATGAAGGCGTGATACGGGATCTGTTTTGGGAGGAAGACGTACGCAAAATCTTATCAACGCCAATCAACAAGTCTATGAAGGACTCGTAGAGATGGGTAGGTGATATTCGTGGTTGCTACACAGTGAAACATGGGTATCGGTTACTTAATACTCATACAATGAGTTTGCCGTCGGATGTTAATTTTCATTTGTCGAATCGCTTGTGGTCTATTCCAGTGCCCCCCAAAGTGAAGAATCTTCTTTGGAGATGCGCACGAGGAGTGTTGCCGGTCCGCGAAAATTTGAAAACGAAGAGGGTATGGATCGGGGGAGGTTGCCCCTTCTGTGGGTTCCCTTCTGAAACAGCAGAACACATTTTTTTGTGAGTGCTCTTGGGCTAGAGGTCTGTGGGGTATAGAAGATGTTCATCAAGGACAGAGTTTAGCGAGCTTCATGGATTCGATTCTGGGAGGCTCGGCAATGGAGAAATTTGTCTACTTAGCAGCTGTCTTCTAGACGTTGTGGCAGGCGCGGAATGATGTTGTGTGGCGGTGCTCATCACTGTCGATTGAGAATCTAAAAATGCAGGTTGACCGACATCAAATACTGTGGAAGAACGCCCTGAGCGGATCGAGTAGCCTGGCGAACGGGCGGAATAGCGACATTCAATGCTACCTCCTCCTCATAACGTCCTTAAATGCAATGTAGATGCGGCCATCTTCGTTGACGGAGCGGGCTACGTAGTAGTTTAAAAAAATTAAGTGTTGAAGGTAATTGAGTAGTTTTCTTTGTTATTTCCAAACATGAGTTTCTTGAGGCATTAGACTCCTTGATTCTAAAGAGATTTATCAGGTGAGTTTTATATTTTATTCTTAGGGCTCTTGTTGCCTCTCTTCGGTTTCTGATTGGCATTTTTTGTCATTGGTTGTGAGCTTCCGTCATAGATTCAGGTTTATTTTTTGTTTAACCACGTATGGTCCTTCAACTATTAAATTTTAACCAACTATGGTCCTTTCAGGAGGACCACGACTGGTTAAATTTCGAAACTTGAAGGATCATGGGTGGTTAACTTAGACCACATATGGTTAAATTTGAAAGTCGAAGGACCACAAATAATTAATTTATTTTTGATTAACCACGCATGGTCCTTCAACTATTAAATTTTAACCAACCATGGTCCTTTCGAGAAGACCACAACTGGTTAAATTTCAAAACTTGAAGGACCATGAGTGGTTAACTTAGACCACAGATGGTTAAATTTGAAAGCTAAAGGACCACAAATAAATAATTTAAAAGTTTAAGACTAAACGTGGCAAAATCACTATACTCGGAAGACCTCAGATGGTATTAACACACAGACACACACACACAGACACACACACACACACACACACACACACACACACACACACACACACACACACACATATATATATATATATATATATATATATATATATATATATATATTTGCAATTTGTTGGAGTACACTGTAGACCCGTTGAACAGACCCCAATGGTCTAATTGTATTACTCAATGGGTCTATTGAACCTTTTAACGAGTTCAATAAACCCATTAAACAGACCCGTTGGTCCAACGATACTGATAGATACCTTAAATTAGATAGCCGGACGGGAAGGTATGGCAAGGCGATTAGGTCAAGGCATGGCCCAATATTTAGCAGGCGGAGGATCTTCAGGGCTCCCAATCATCATATAAGGCACCCAGTGATGGCAACCAGTCATCTTTCGGCGACCAGTCAGCCGTAACGGCGGACGCTCACTCAGGTAGGGTTTGGACCACGCGGATAGGGCGACCGGTCCCGGCAGCTGGTGTGTCCTCGACTAAGCTCACAAGCGAGGCCCGATTGGGCGATCAGCCTCGATGGTCGGAATGTCCCCGGCTGAATATCCTACGGGATTCAGATGGACGACCAGGCTACGCGGGCGCTGTGTCCTCAATCGTGCGCCACTCGGGAACTCAACCGGGCAACCAGTCTACATGGTTGGAGTGTCCTTGCCCGGATACCGCGACCCCTAGATCATCCCCTCAGTGGTCGGAACGTTCCAGGCCGGGTGCACGTCCAGAGACGGATACCAGCGGATTCTGCGAGGGGTATCTCCGTGCATCAGCCCTACCCTGCCTCTAGACTAGACTTTATGTCAACACTACTTACTGTACCTTGTAAGGATCTCATGTTCATGTATAAATATCCCCATGGGATCACCATGTAAAGGATCGGCATTTTTGGAGGGCCAAACCCTAAAGAAATAATATCACATTATTCTCTCTTCTCTCAACTTTAATTTATCTCTCACTCACATTGTTACTCTGGCATTCTAAACGTATTTTTGCGGTAGTGTTGACTTGTCGAGCGGCTATCCAAAGCCGTAGAAACCAACACTACTCAACGTACGGATCTATTGAACAAATAAATGAGCTGAGTATTGTTAAATAAATTACATTATATTTCAGATATTTCATTTTTATATTTTTCTAATTTTGATGTTGACCAATAGATCGATCCATGCTTTCTAATAATTAATAGTAATCTTTTGTGACGACTAAATGAACAAATGAATTAGTATTGTTAAATAAAAAAAAAAACTGTATATTGTGACTTTCGAGTACTGCATCACACGTGTAGAATACTACTTATTTTTAATAGTCGGACAGAGAAACACAAGAAGTGAACTTTTATTTTGTTACAGTACTAGTACGTACTACGTGCAGTACAGTACCCATAATATATTACATACTCGTTCTTATATAATAAGAATATTGAAAATAATTGTACTATGCTCCATGCATGCTTACCTGACGACATATTCAAATAACCTAACGGGGGAGCTTATTGCTTATCAAATTAATTTCCTATTTAATAGGAGTAGCAGGAATCAAGACAAGATCAGTCTTTCTTCCTACAGATATTCCAGCCGTCTCTGTCATGTCAAATGTATCAACAGTAATTCCAGGAGGTAACATCCAATCAAAGTGGTAAAGCAGGTGTGCTAAAGGAGATAGAGAATTGGTAAAACCAAATGCTAATCCTGGACATATTCTCCTTCCACTGCCAAACGGCAAATATTCAAAGTTGTTCCCCATAAAATCAATTGAACTGTTTTCAAATCTCTCAGGTATAAAACTCTCTGGATCCTCCCAGTACCGAGGATCCCTGCCGATGGCAAACACATTAACAAGTACTCTTGCTTTGACCGGTATGGTGTATCCGCACACCACAGTTTCTTCCCTGCACTCTCTGGGAATTAACAAAGGAACCGGAGGATGACACCTCAAAGTTTCTTTGACCACTGATTTCAAGTATAGTAATTCCTCCATATCTTCCTCCTCCAACTTCTCTTTCCCTCTAAAAGCTTCTCTCACCTCAGCTTGTGCTTTCGAAAACACCCTAGGATTTTTCATCATTTCCGACAATGCCCACACTATTGTTGTTGATGATGTCTCGGTTCCTGCTGCAAAAATATCCTGGTCGTCCGTCCGTATATATGCATATGCATGTAAATAAAACAAATATTATATTATATTATGGGACAATTAAGAAACAATATATATATGTATATATGTATATGACATACGAGGAATACGCCTTTGATAACTTCGTGGGTGATAGGCAGTTGATGGCCTCCGTTCCTCTCAAGTTTGACGAGGACACCAATTATATCTTCACCTTCATCATCACCCCCTAACTCGCCACTTTCTAACTTCTTTTCGTGCTCTTTAATGATGTTCTCGATAATTGGATCTACTTTACGGTGAATTTTCAGCATCCTATTCTTGTTCCCGCAGACGGAGTGAAGAAGCTTCCAGGAGGGAAACACATCAGCGAACTCGAAGCTTCCCACCAAGCTCGACATCTCTTCCAATAGCTCAACTAATTCCTCTCTCCCAGTGAATACCCTACCTAGTTAAGTAAAATAAAATCACAAGCGCTAATTATTATTTACGCCAAAAGCTATATGGACTTGGCCTTTACTGGCCTTAGTATAACTTAGCAATTCTCCCTCCCAGCTGGCTTACCAGTTATGTCAAATGTTGTAACGTATTAGTAGCGAAAATGCAATTTTATTTTCGAGAAGATGGACTTGACCCTAAACCTTTTACCGGCCTCCGCCCAAAGAACAAATTAATTATAAGTTGTGGGTCACCATATATCATAATCTAAATTGATTAATTATAATATATAATTGATAATTGATTACCCAATGCGGATCTGCATGTAAGGGAGCTCATAAACAAGGCGATTCTCTGAGACATATTGAGTGGCCTCCCCAAAGATGAACGGATGTGAGCCAGTAGACGATGGATCTCGTCGTTCCTGATGGAGCTGAAGGAGCGGACAATTTTGGCGTTGAGGAGCTCCGTCACACATATTTTGCGCATTTGTCTCCAGAGATCTCCGTACGGAGAGAACGCAACCTCCCAACAATTGTAGAAGAGTACCTTGGTGGCCGTAAGTTCTGGGCGGCTCGCAAAAGCAAGGTCGTGAGTTCTTAGGAACTCTTTAGCCATCTCTCGCGAGGACACGATCACAGCTGGAATTTCTCCAATTTGAAGGTGCATGAGGCCCGACGAGGAGCCGTACCTTTTGGCTAAATCGCTAAGGAGCCGGTGGGCGGGCAGCGAGCCACTCAAGTGGAGCAAGTTCCCGATGATAGGCAGCTTCCACGGGCCAGGCGGCAGTTTCCCACTGCTTTTTGCCTTCTTCTTCCACTGTGTATGGACTAAAAAGAAGAAAGAAAGAAAGAAGGTGAAAGAAATAAAGTTGATAATTGCGGCCTCCATTAAAGAGCAAGCTATCTAGCTAGCTAGATATATCTTTTTTTTTTTTTTGAAGAAGCTAGCTAGATATATCTTATGCCTTCTTAATTTGTTCAAGACCAAGCTAAGGCTGCCCTAATATATACTTGTATTTCGTGGACTACTATTCTACTCTTCTCCCTACTTTTTGATAAGGTTGAGGTGGACTACTATTCTAATATTATTATATGGCATCCGGTACTTCAACTTTGACGTAGTCTACTCACTCAATTCTTTTCAACATATCTTTTGGTTATTATTAACACAAGAGTTCTAATACATGTTACTCTCAAATCTTACTCCCCCAACTCTCATAAGCTATTTTTTTTCATATAAATCACAATACAAGTGTTTACATTAAAAATTTGTGTGTTTAGTGAGAGTAAAAATTGAGAGTACACATTTATTTTCATATTAACAACAAAAATAATAATACCAACAATATAATAACAACAACAACATCATCATCATCATCAAATTAAGAACAACAATGACAACAATAATATTAGCGATAACAACAACTACAACAATAACAACAACAACAACAACAACAACAATAATAATAATAATAACAATAATAATAATAATAATAATGGAGAGAAGTTCTTTTAGCCTTTCTCCCCATATGAAATCAATCTTGAATTTGATTGCCAAGTCCTAAAATGAGTCGATTGACCCCTCCACCCCCCTTCCCCCCACCCCCCTAGTAATCCCGTGAACCAACATTGAGTTCATCTACCAATACTATATAAGAACACATTATACATCACATGATCAGTGGCTCCTATAAACATCATGGCATCTTGATATGCCATAATATGTTCGTACGAATGACCTACCGCCCCCATCAAATCTTTTACACTCGTTGTTTTGAAGTTAGTTGGGAGGGGTTCCTCCATGATTCTCATTGTGAAAGGAGGCATGAGTTGTGATCTCCAAGATCACGAGTAACTGACCATCATCTTTCCATTGTAGTAACTTCTCTAGTCTTTTGTCTACCTTCTTCGCCTCGTCTTCTAGGACAGCGACTCGAGATTCCATTCGCTATTTACCGACCCACTAGAACTTGATGAATGGGGTTTAGTTCTTGCTAGGCGGGTAGGATAGGGTACCCAATTGGGAGCCCCAACTTGTAACACCCCAGATTTTCAAGACTTTTAAAACTTATATAATAAGGGTAGAATCTCATTAAATCCCAAAATACGATACAAAGAGTACGGGGTGCTATGCCACACCCGAGCTAGAGAACTCGGGTGCACAGGCTAAATTCTAAAACCTCCAACAGTATCAATGCTAAATCATGGCACGCAGGCCGAAAGGGAAAACTATCTAAGCTATGCCCCAAGCTTCTAGCGCGCTCCAGTGATCTACTCATCTGTGCCTGAAAGCCAAATATATCTGTTCAGCGAGAGATGCTGGTAACCCACTCCAACGCGTTGAAATACAATACATATAGATATATATAGATATACGAAAACCATTTTGAACATGAAGATATATCCTACGAACTCTAGCTTTTAAAACAGGGATAGACTCATCGGATAGGGTTAAGCACAGACAGTAGTTATACCAACATATATAGTTACAAGCAGGAAAGACAGGTAAAGATAAGCATAATTAATGACCATAACCTAACACATGCGATTCCCAGTGTAAATCCCCTAGTCATATCCCCAAGACACTCATAACAACAACTCCTCCGTATTTCATCACATAGCACACTTTGTTGGCGCCACAGGACCAATCGCACGCCCATACATGAGGGTCAGCGCATATAGCTCTGACACGGCCCCGCAGCACCCTGCCCCGTATCGCTACACGGAGGGGTCGATCGCAACCGACCGATGAACCGCAGCTCATCATAGTTTGATCGCAACCAAACAGTGGACCGCAGCCCAAGAGTATGTCATCTGACCGCAACCAGGAAATATGAACCGCAGCTCATGTAGAAACGTTTGATCGCAACCAAACGGTGGACCGCAGCCCGGGAGTGTAAATCTGACCGCAACCAGCTTCTGAACCGCAGCTCAGGAATAACCAATTCGATCGCAACCGAATTGGGGTATCATGCACAGATAACACATAGCAAGCACATGCAACCCACATTAACATATTGGGAAGGGGGAGAAAACGTATAATAAAACCTATGCGTGATCCTTCACATTCTAAGAATAATCCTAAGGGGTTATACTTCTTTCACCTAGGTCAACGGGATACCAATTCAACTAGCATGCAATATATAAGACTCATACCACCTACGAACGGTACCCGAAATATCAAACTAGACATAGGCACGATAAACGGAGTCTGTTGGGACACCACGGGGGTCGGGGAACATCAAACGGGGAAGCCAAAATCCCCAATTGGGGTGCAAACCAGCGGGTAGCCGGTGGGTGAGGGTTCACCCGCCGGCTGCCCGCCGGCGACAGCCATTTCGGGCAGCGGGTGCCCGGTGGGCAGCTTCCCGCCCGCCGGCTGCCCGCTGCCGGCGTTGCCCAAGAAGGCCGCGGGTAGGTGGCGGGTCCCCTACCCCCACCTACCCCCCACTGACTCTTTTTCACCAAAAACACCCCGGGAACCTTTGTGGAACCCGAAACCTTGCTTAGACACTTTCAAATGCAATTGATAACACACGTAGACAATTAACGGATCAAAGATCGAGAAACATATGGCACATAACCTATCATGCTTTTCTAAACATAATCAACACCCAATCATGCGAATTCCCACCCAATATACCGATAATAATTCCATACGATACAACCTAGGGTTCTAATCATTTTTAAATCAACAAGGACACAATTCATCTTCTAATATCAAGATTCGGTAAGAATATCACATAAACATCAAGAACATCCTACAATCATCAAGAACATCATATAATCATCAAGAACGTCAAATCATCAAGAACACCATAAGAACCTTTCATCATCAAGATCACCCATGGAATCATCCCATCAATCATCAATAATAATATCACAAATCATCAATACACAATAATATGGGGAAATCCTAAGAGGGGAATCATAGCTATGAAAATAGGTTTTGTTGAGACATGGGTTACCTCTTAGCCTTAATTAATTCCTTGGCTATGAAGGGTCTTTCTTTAAGCTTTCTTGCTTTCTTGATTTCTTCTAAGGGAATTCTTGGAGCTCTTTGGGGTGGTGAGTCGTTTATTGCGGTAGGGGGTTTCTAGATGCCTCTTAAGTCCCCTATTTATATATTTAGGAGTCCTAATTAGGAACTAATATTATAGGCTTGCTAATTCTATTCCTTTTGGAACTAAGGATTGGGTTTAGGGATAAGGGCCCATGGACTATGGTGGGCCTTTCCTAATTTAATTATTGTGATTTAATTCTTTCTTTTGGGTAATTGGTTAAATGATTAATTGGTTTTAGGGATCGTAACACAGGGTGTTACACTCTCCCCCCCCCCCCCCTTACGAGGGGCTTCGTCCCCGAAGCCTGGTGTGTTAATCCATTCTTTCACCCCCTAGGCATTCCGCATCTTGGCCTCCCGGTTAGGAATGTGGCCCCACGTTTTGCCTTAGCTGGGGTAGACTGGATTTCTGGAGGTGTTGTGATAGAAAGGTTTTGGGTCTACCTCGGTCTCCTGCTCCTGAGCTGGACGCCCCGCGAGTGCCCAAGGTGGCCTCGATTGCTGCCACCCTTTGATCTAGTGCGCGTGTCGTACGGATCAAGGATGAGAACCCTTCCTCCATGATTTGGTTTTGCCGGTTGAGCTGTGCGAGTATGCGTTCATTGATTGAGTCCTCGTTTTGCTCCCTTGGGTTCCCTCCTGATCGTGGTTGCACCGACGGGTTGGGTTCGTCATCCTCCTCCTGGTCTTCATTTCCCTCCAGGATTCCGCAATCTTGCATTGCTCGTTTGAGCTGCTTGTTGGAAATGTCTAATTGGTCGACCAATTCTCTTCATTCATCCTCGGGTTTTTGGCAAATTTCTTCGAGGGTGAGGTAATGTCCTCCCTCGGTGTAGTAGATATCATTGCAGCGTAGGTTCTGGGCGTTAAAGACCATGCCATTTGCGGTCTTGACCTTGGTGTGGCTTAGGTCCACCCCCTTTTTCTCCATGATCCAACTTAGGATCATCCCGTAGGGTAGGCTAAGCCGGTTGCTTGATTTGCAAAACTCCATGTGTTTTAGCATGAGGGCCGGCAGGTTGAACTTGATTTTGTGTTTCAAGAAGTAGGCAAAGGTGCACTCTAAACTCCCCACGTCCTTGCTTTTATTATTCGTGGGCAAGAGGCTATCGGTTACAATCATAACCAATATCTTTTGTTCCGCCGATAGCCACTTTCTATTCGGTCGTGTGGCCGAGGTGAATCCTTCCTCTTTCCCGAGGAGGTACCCGAGGTAGTCCTTGTACCCCGTGTTTTGGGTATCAATCCACCCCTTTCGGTCATTGCTTGACACACCCGTGGTGGTCAATTTCAAAAGCTTGGCCAACCGGCATTCGGAGAGTATAATTTCCTTGCCGCGGACCTTGGTGGTGATTTCTAGCTTATCACCCCATTTGGTGGCTATAAGATGTTGATAGAATTCTTTCACCAATTCGGGGTACGTATCCCCCTTGATGGTGAGGTACGTATCCAAAAGCCCTTGGTGTTTAAGCATATCAACCAATCCCGGAGAAAATTGGTCGGGTTCAAGGGCTTTACCTCCAATTACGGTGTAATCGGCGTTGCTCCATTCCGGGGTACGGGTCCCGAGGGGTTTCTTTGGCATTGTGATGCTTCGCTTGATGGTGACGTTTTCTGACGAGTTTTTCCGGCGACTTTCCGGCGGGGCTGCGGTGTATTTTTCCGGCGGTCTTTGGCGGTGCGGCTCTGTTGCGAGGGAGGCGGCGGCGACTGGGCTCCGGTGTTGGCTTGGCAAGGTGGGGCGGTGGTTTTCGGTGGCGTCGGGCAGTGGTGGCAGCGGGCGGAGCTCGGGCAGGTGGCGGGCGGCGCTGGCGTCGCGGGCGTCCTCCGGCAGCGAGGTCGGCGTGCGGTCGGGCGCCGTCTGGGCGGTCGATGGCGGTTCTGGACGTGGGCGGCGATCGAATGGGGCTACTGGTTCGGTATTTGGGGTGGCGGGGAGGTGTGTAGGAGAGGGAAGGCGAGAAGGTGAGGGAGAAGAAGAGGAAGAAGAGGAAGAAGAAGGGTTTTTGATTTGGGGATTTTGTGGGTTTTAGGGATTTGTAGGCGCTTTAACAAGGGAGTGTTCCCTTGAGGTTTCAAGAAACACCTTTAGTCTAGTGGTCAAGACTTTGGTCTTGTGAGTGGGAAGTCAAGGGTTTAATTCCCATTAGTAACATTAAGCCTTTTTTGATGGTGTGGTCCTTGTCTTTTTCCCTCTTTCGTCATCTAGTGATGGGAGGCTTGGCTTGTTATATAATTTTTTGTTTCGTCTTTATAGGCAAGATCGAATTTCGATCAAATCTTTTATTTATAATAATTCCAAAGTAATCGCTAAATAATTAGTTTTACTATGGAGGTGATTACAAGGAATTGCCGGTTTATCCTAGACAGAATTCGTCTTCTTGATTTTCTCCTGCGGGGTTTGCGTGATCCTCGTCTTCTGGGGTTAGGTTCCCCTCCTCGAGGTTGCTCTCGTTCCCGAGGTCGGCTTGAGTGCGGCACATGACGAATATTTTCCCGAGAGCGCCGTAGTTCCCTTGGTGGGTGGTGCCTCCATGTTGACCTGTGGTGGTGGGGCGTGGCCTTTGGGGTTGAACGCACTGGAAGGCCTTGTGCCCTTCTTCTCCGCAGTTGAAGCATCGCCAGGGATTGCCCATGCAATCTTTCCCTCTATGGCTTTTGTTGCATTTTGGGCAAGGGAAGCTCCTTGGGTTTGCTTCATTGTTCCCTAGGGACGGTCTTTGGTTGGTCAGGTTGCTTGGTCTTGTGTTGGTGTCGTTCCTTGTTCTTTTTACCGGTGGTGCTCCCCCTCCGGTATTCCTTTTTCATATCTTTTCCTGAACCCCGCGCTAGAGTAGTTGGATTCGATAGAGATTGGCGGCACTGGAGTAAGCCTCGTTGAGAGTCCGAGGTCGGCTTACCACTAGTGCTTTTCGGGCTTCGAAGTTGAGGCCCGAGACGAATCTTTCTATCTTGGTTACTTCGGTGGGGACTAGCTCTGGTGCGAAGCGCGCCAGTTCGAGGAATCGCTTGTGGTATTCCATGACGGTGGCTGTCCCTTGTTTCAGATGGAGGAACTCTTCGTACATGGATGCTTTCACGTGTGTTGGGTAGAATCGTTCTCGTAGTCGTGTTTTGAGGTTTTCCCAGTTGAACCCTGGTTCTTGTTGGTAAGCGGGACCCTCGTGGATCCACCAAAGATCGGCCTCGTGTCCGAAGTAGAACGAGGCTACCTCTACGCGACGTTCTTCTGGGCATTCCACTAACCCGAGAATTTTGTCGAGGGTCCGGATCCATTCCTCCAGGATCACGGGGTCCTCTTCTCCTGAGAACGTGGGTAGTCGATGATTTGAAACTTGTCGGGCGACGTCTGAGTTCGTGTTTGATGTAGGAGGCGGGGGCCTGTTGTTGCGAAGAGCTACATCGCTTAGTGCCTGGGCGACTTGCGTTAGTTGTTGTAGTGTTTGGGTCAGGGGGTCATGTGTGGTGGGTTCTGGAGTCCTTGACTGTCTTCTGTTGGGTGCCATGCTGTCGCCTTTCTGAGTCAATGTTTATAAGAACATTAAATTAGAGTTTGGTGTCCTTCTTTGGCGTGATAAGCGGAGGAAGGTTTTCTTTAGACAAGGAAGGAATGAAGTGAGGGGGTTTATGTGTAGGTTTCACAACCTTACCGCGTGTCCTAAAATTCCCGAGTCCTATGTTCCTAAATACCTAGAGTTCAAGCCTAATGTCCTAAAGTCCGGTTTTAAGAATCTTATCCTAGGGTCAAACTTAGGCTCTGATACCAACTGTAACACCCCAGATTTTCAAGACTTTTAAAACTTATATAATAAGGGTAGAATCTCATTAAATCCCAAAATACGATACAAAGAGTACGGGGTGCTATGCCACACCCGAGCTAGAGAACTTGGGTGCACAGGCTAAATTCTAAAACCTCCAACAGTATCAATGCTAAATCATGGCACGCAGGCTGAAAGGGAAAACTATCTAAGCTATGCCCCAAGCTTCTAGCGCGCTCCAGTGATCTACTCATCTGTGCCTGAAAGCCAAATATATCAGTTCAGCGAGAGATGCTGGTAACCCACTCCAACGCGTTGAAATACAATACATATAGATATATATAGATATACGAAAACCATTTTGAACATGAAGATATATCCTACGAACTCTAGCTTTTAAAACAGGGATAGACTCATCAGATAGGGCTAAGCATAGACAGTAGTTATACCAACATATATAGTTACAAGCACGCAAGACAGGTAAAGATAAGCATAATTAATGACCATAACCTAACACATGCGATTCCCAGTGTAAATCCCCTAGTCACATCCCCAAGACACTCATAACAACAACTCATCCGTATTTCATCACATAACACACTTTGTTGGCGCCACAGGACCAATCGCACGCCCATACATGAGGGTCAGCGCATATAGCTCTGACACGGCCCCGCAGCACCCTGCCCCATATTGCAACACGGAGGGGTCGATCGCAACCGACCGATGAACCGCAGCTCATCATAGTTTGATCGCAACCAAACAGTGGACCGCAGCCCAAGAGTATGTCATCTGACCGCATGTAACACCCCTGATTTTCAAGACATTTAAAACTTAATAATAAAGGTAACATCTCATTAAATCCCAAAACGTAACATAAGTGTACGGGGTGCTATGCCACACCTGAGCTAGAGAACCCAGGTGCACAGGCTGTCTAACTACTATCCTCTGAAATATAAATGCATAATATGGCACGCAGGCCGAAAGGGAAACTATACTACTTCTACGCTCCGGTTCTAGCGCGCTCCAGTGCTCTAATCCTCTGTGCCTGAAAGCCAAATATATCTGTTCAGCGAGAGATGCTGGTAACCCACTCCAACGCGTTGAAATACAATACATAGAGCAACATATATATAGATATACAAAAACCATTTTGAGCATGAGAATATATCCTACGAACTCTAGCTTTTAAAACCGGGAATGACTCGACAGATAAGGTCAGACACAAGCAATAGTTATAACAGTCATATGCAGTTCACAATAGATAAGGCAGATAAGGCAAGGCATAAACAATAATCACAACCCATCATAAACAATCCCCAACATCAATTCCACAGTCACATTCCTCCAAGACACTCATAATCACAGCTCATCCATATCACATCACATAGCACACTTTGTTGGCGCCACAGGACCAATCGCATGCCCATACATGAGGGTCAGCGCATATAGCTCTGACACGGCCCCGCAGCACCCTGCCCCGTATCGCAACACGGAGGGGTCGATCGCAACCGACCGATGAACCGCAGCTCATCATAATGTTTGATCGCAACCAAACAGTGGACCGCAGCCCAAGAGAGTGTGTTATCTGACTGTAGCCAGGGATTCCCATCTGACTACAGCCAGCCTCTGAACCGCAGCTCAGGAAAGATGTCACCTGATTGCAGCCAGGAATTCCCATCTAACTACAACCAGCTTCTGGACCGCAGCCCAGGATACCGTCATCCGACTACAGCCAGGAATTCCCATCTGACTATAGCCGGCTTCTGAACCGCAGCTCAGGATAGCCAATCCGATCGCAACCGAATTGGGGTAACACGCACACATAACACATAGCAGGCACATGCAACCCACATTACACATTAGGAAGGGGGAGAAAACGTAAAATAAAACCTATGCGTGATCCATCACTTACTAAGAATAGTCCTAAAGGGTTCATACTCCTTCCACCTAGGGCAACGGGATACCAATTCAACTAGCATGCAATATAATAGACTCATAAACCTACGAACGGTACCCGAAATATCAAACTAGACATAGGCACGACAAACGGGGTCCGTTGGGACACCACGGGGATCGGGGAAACATCAAACGGGGAAGCCGGGGTCCCGAGGGGGGGAAAATTCCAGCGGGTAGCCGGTGGGTGGGGGTCCACCCGCCGGGCAATACTGTTCCGGGCAGCGGGTCGCCGGCGGGCAGCTGCCCGCCCGCCTGCTGCCCGCTGCCGGAACAGTGTTCTCGGCCGTCGGTAGGTGGCGGGTCCCCTACCCCCCACCTACCCCCCACTGACTCTTTCATCAAGTTTTCGTCCCGGGAACCGTTGTGGAACCCGAAACCATGCTTAGACACTTACAACGCAATTAACGACAACACGTAGACAATTAACGGATCAAATACGAGAAACGAACGGCACATAACCTATCATGCTTTTCTAAACATAATCAACACCCAAACATGCGATTTCCCACCCGATAATCCAAGAATAATATCATACGATACAACCTAGGGTTCTAATCACTTTTATATCAACAAGTATACGGTTCGTCTTCTAATTGCAAGATTCGGTAAGAACAACACATAATCATCAAGGATACCAATTAATCATCAAAAGCATCATAATTATCAAGAACAACACATGATCATCAAAACCCCAATTAATCATCAAGAACATCATAATTATCAAGAAACTCCCAATACCAAGATTATCCAGATTCCTCATGGAATCATTATATCGACATCAATAATAATCATCATCAATCGCCATTTACAACAATATGGGGGGAAACCCTAAGGGGAAATCATAGCTATGAAAATAGGTTTTGTTGAGACATGGGTTACCTCTTAGCCTTAATTAGTTCCTTGGCTATGAAGGATCTTTCTTTAAGCTTTCTTGCTTTCTTGATTTCTTCTAAGGGGATTCTTGGAGCTCTCCTGGGTGATGGGCGTTTATGCGTGTGGGGGTTCCGGGTGTCTCCTAAGTTCTTTATATATATAATTAAGACTCCTAATTAGGGCCTGAATGGTATGGGTTTACTAATCCTATTCCTTATAGGATTCAGGGACTCGCTTTAGGGATAAGGGTCCATATTAATTAGAGCGGATCCTAATCACAATCTGAATAGTAAAAGGTTTACTATCTTTATTCCTAATAGACTTAAGCCTCTAATTTAGGCAAGGGTCTACGGTTCATGGTGGACCCCATTAATTAATTAAAGGGGAACTTAACTTAATTAATCATATTTAATTATTATTAGCGGGATTAATTAAATAATTAATCCAAGGTTAAAGGTCGTAACACGGGGTGTTACACCGCAGCCAGGAAATATGAACCCCAGCTCATGTAGAAACGTTTGATCGCAACCAAACGGTGGATCGCAGCCCGGGAGTGTAAATCTGACCACAGCCAGCTTCTGAACCGCAGCACAGGAATAACCAATTCGATCGCAACCGAATTGGGGTATCATGCACACATAACACATAGCAAGCACATGCAACCCACATTAACATATTGGGAAGGGGGAGAAAACGTATAACAAAACCTATGCGTGATCCTTCACATTCTAAGAATAATCCTAAGGGGTTCATACTTCTTTCACCTAGGTCAACGGGATACCAATTCAACTAGCATGCAATATATAAGACTCATACCACCTACGAACGGTACACGAAATATCAAACTAGACATAGGCACGATAGACGGAGTCCGTTGGGACACCACGGGGGTCGGGGAACATCAAACAGGGAAGCCAAAATCCCCAATTGGGGTGCAAACCAGCGGGTAGCCGGTGGGTGAGGATTCACCCGCCGGCTGCCCGCCGGCGGCAGCCATTCCGGGCAGCGGGTGCCCGGCGGGCAGCTGCCCGCTGCCGGCGTTGCCCAAGAAGGCCGCGGGTAGGTGGCGGGTCCCCTACCCCCACCTATCCCCCGCTGACTCTTTTTCACCAAAAATGCCCCGGGAACCTTTGTGGAACCCGAAACCATGCTTAGACACTTTCAAATGCAATTGATAACACACGTAGACAATTAACGGATCAAAGTTCGAGAAACATATGGCACATAACCTATCATGCTTTTCTAAACATAATCAACACCCAATCATGCGAATTCCCACCCAATATATCGATAATAATTCCATACGATACAACCTAGGGTTCTAATCATTTTTAAATCAACAAGGACACAATTCATCTTCTAATATCAAGATTCGGTAAGAATATCACATAAACATCAAGAACATCCTACAATCATCAAGAACATCATATAATCATCAAGAACGTCATATAATCATCAAGAACACCATAAGAACCTTTCATCATCAAGATCACCCATGGAATCATCCCATCAATCATCAATAATAATATCACAAATCATCAATACACAATAATAAGGGGAAATCCTAAGAGAGGAATCATAGCTATGAAAATAGGTTTTGTTGAGACATGGGTTACCTCTTAGCCTTAATTAATTCCTTGGCTATGAAGGGTCTTTCTTTAAGCTTTCTTGCTTTCTTGATTTCTTCTATGGGAATTCTTGGAGCTCTTTGGGGTGGTGAGTCATTTATTGTGGTGGGGGGGGGGGGGGGGGTTTCTAGGTGCCTCTTAAGTCCCCTATTTATATATTTAGGAGTCCTAATTATGAACTAATATTATAGGCTTGCTAATTCTATTCCTTTTGGAACTAAGGATTGGGTTTAGGGATAAGGGCCCATGGACTATGGTGGGCCTTTCCTAATTTAATTATTGTGATTTAATTCTTTCTTTTGGGTAATTGGTTAAATGATTAATTGGTTTTAGGGATCGTAACACGGGGTGTTACACAACTAGGCGGTTGGGTCACGACGATGGGCGGTCAACAGAAGGCGATGGGTCATGAGGCCTAGCGCGAGGAATGCCTTATTTTAGAAACTTTCTCTATGGTTTGGAGGCGTGGCTTTGTTTTTGACATTAGGAAAGAAACCTCATAACTTGGGGAACCTAGCTTAGAATAGTTTAGGCAAGTTTCCTAAGCTCAAATTCGTTAAGTCTTTCAATTTCCTTTCCTTCTCTCTAGAGCTTATGCATGTATAAATATCCCTAGGGTCACAATGTAAAGGATCAAACTTGCAATAATACTACTTTTAGCTTGTTCTTGTATTTTTCCCTCGTTCACGCATTTTTCCTATTATTTTCTGATTGTGTTGGCCCGCCGACCGATTAACGTGTAGCCGTGAAACCAACATTGGCGCCGTCTGTAGGGACCGATACGAAAGGTCGTGTTCCTCTACTTGCTTCGATAATTCATACAAGCATGCATCAAATGTAAACCTAAATGGTTTTCTATGCAATTCCTCACTTGGGTGTAAGAAAATGTAACTTCCAAAGGATATTCCAAGAATAATTTTTTTTTTTTTTTTTGTATGGGCACATCACTATCATATTAATCACATGATATGAACAACGACACACTCTCCATATCCAACACACTCGTCAATCAAGCACAACTGAATCAATTAAGCAACAAAAACACATTTAAGCACAATGTGCTTCCCTTCCACACTTTAAAATGAACATCGTACTTTGTTAGTGTTTTAATTGCTCCAAAAAACCCCAACATATAATTGGCAATATTATTATGGCAAACTAAGATAGGGTTAGCTTGGTGTCAGTTTTGTTCTACAGAGGACTGATTGATCAGATACGGCAACAGCGGGACTGACACTGAAGATCTGTTTTAGGAAGATGTTTCCTTATTGCTGAACGTGGTTTAAGAAGACAGCTTTGGAAAGAAGATCAGCAGATCTGTCTTGGAAAGGTATGGACCACATCTTTAAGATTACATTCTTCATTTATTGTCCTACCATCTACAGTCAGAGATATCTATGGACAGTGTTCTTACTATGGAATTATAAGTACCCTCATTCGTCAAGATT